CCAACAGACTCGCAGGTGCTGCGGACACGTGGAAAGGTCAGCCTAGCGGCGGCATCCAGCTCCACCGGGGCCCAGTCGCCCGCCGACTGGGTGTGCTCGAGTCTCCCTCTGCCTGTTTCGCTCCAACTAGCAGCCCTGGCAGCTCCGTCTTCAGGGAACAAAGTCTGGACTGGGCAAGCGCTGGCTAGAGCTAAGAGAACAGAAAGTTCCCCCACAAGTGGCCCAGTAGGCACAGGTTAACCTCATTAAAATAGACACCTCCTTACTCCCCCTAATAGTCTTTATCCACCCCACAGCGCCCCACGAGCTGCAACTTTATCGTTTTGCTTTTTGCATCCTGCAAATAGCACCAGCTCATGCCGTGCTGTAGGGTTAGCGCACTACCATCTATTTAATCCAAAATTTAAAAGGAAAGAAAAACATTACTCATGGGAGAATTGAAACACATGGTCAATTTTTCAAAGTCATTGCAGATGTAGCATATTCTGCTATACAAATATCACCTGGTCTGGTGGAAAATATTACCATCAGCCTTTTCAAGGGTCTTGCCCACTTCTAGAAAATTTTAGGTTAAGAAATGATACAAATTAATTACGTGGATCCCTAATTATGCAAACATAGCTCATTGAAAAGGTTGGTTGGCTGAACAAACAGCCGCTATTCTGCTTTCATAAAGATTACAGCGGGGGGCGGGGGGGGGGGGGGGGGGGCGGTTTACAGACAAAACTATCGGGCAGTCCAGGAGCCCCCGTGACGTAGTGGGTTAAGGCATTGGGCTGATAACCACAACGTCTGTAGTTTGAACCCACTCCGCCGCTGAAAGGTGAGACCGTCCACTCCAGTAAAAAAGATGTCTCAGAAACTTAAAGGGACAGGTCAGTATGCTCCGGAATCTACTAGATGGCAGTGAGCCTGAGTTTTGATAGGGCGGTTTGACTCTGTCACATGAACTCACTAGTCAAACTTTCTATGGCACCAAACAAGCCCCTTAAGAGCATACGCAATTCAAAACCAAATATCTCCCCTCCCCCTTCCCAAAGACCCGCTGGCAGGAAATTGGCCCAGCAGGTGAGATAATTTTAAACACTTTACACGGTTGACACAAAACAGCTTTCACTTACTGTGTCCAAAAATTGGAAAGTGAAACTAAGCAGACAAGTTTTATTATCCAAGCTTAGCCAACGGAAGAATAAACACATGGAAACCAATCTGGGCAAGTGAGGAGGGGCTGAAATGGTGTGTGTGTGTGGGGGGGTGGTATATATGATTTCTAAGATATTGGAACCGGTAAAGAAGTTGAGTGGCTTTCATTCCTCCACCTCCTCTATTTTAATCTTTCGAGCTAAATTTGATAGTAAATTTGGCTGTTATCAATGGCTGATGGACATTTGGTGTCTCGGAATAAACTCCAAACTCCAAGTGTTCCCAATGACATCACATTTAACCAAATGTGCACTTAAACCCAGCTTTTATTCGGTTTAGGGCTAGAAGACGTCCGAACTTCGTCACTGTGGGGCAGGCAGAGCTTTGCTCCTCAGAAACAGAGAGCCCGTCTAAGCCGTGCAGTTTAAATTTCTCGGGATTATATTTTCCCCTCAGCTTTTCCTTTTAGGGATCTGGAACCTGCGAAAAACTCGTTAAATTGGAAACGCCTTCTGGAAAAGTCACTGGCTGATGTGACGACGAGCGGGGAGTAAACAACACCCAGGGAAGCTCAGATTCGACAGCGTTGGTTTTTCCCCACTTTATTCAGCACCTGATAGGATCTTAAAAAGCGGCCTGGCTTCCATACTCCACAAGTTTCCATTGTTCCCAGCCCCAGAAGCTTCCCCCTTTAGAGGCCATCGGAACGGCGACATTCCAGCCCGGCCAGGCAGGGGGCAAATTGGCCTCTCCCGTCGCCTTCACGCCCTCTAACCGCCGGGCGGGAGCGGCCCGACGGCCCCGCCCCCAGAGGGCGGAGCCCGAAGCGCCGGGCTCTCTTAAAGGGCCCACGTCCCGGCAGCTCAAGAACGCGTGGGTCTTGAACAGGATTTGGGGGAGATCTGCATTTTGACCTGGTTCTCGTCCGCCGAAATCGTGTTTAGGAGTCTTTAGAGGGAAAGCCATCTTGTCAGGCTTCCCTGCTGATATAGATGGGGGTAAACGGCAGGATTAATTTTTTTCACTGTGGTCTTGATTGTTATTGCAAAGCAGAAGCGTGTCTAAGTTCGTACATCTTGTAAGAAGTGGTTCCCCTTAAAACCGGAGAATTTATCACAACAGTGGTTCAGTAATAGTCCTACAATGGAAAAACCAGTTACCCGACCAATGACATCATTCTAAAGCTCCTTCTCAGCTTTTCTAGGGGAAAAGAATCAGAAGAATAAGGGTCGTGTTCGGTGCCCCCGGGGGAGGAGCAAATTCAGATCATCTCCTCCGAGGGGGAATTAGTGAAAATTCGCTTTGCCCTAAATTCAAGCTGCAAAAACAAAAAGTAAGAAAAAAAGCAAACAGTCGATTATTCCTGTGGCCTACCAACAAGGCACAATAGCAAACTCTTCAGCTAATTCCCTTTCTGCAGTTGATTTGCTCTATGGTCGTGAGCTCTTTTCAACCGTGAAAGAAAATGTTGTAAAGCCTAGGGAAATTGTGTTGTTTAATTTTTAATGGCTATAATTAATTGTATCCAGCTAGTGATTCATTTAGTGGCTACAGCACCACCACCTCTTAGGGTTTTGGAAAAAAAAAAAAATGGCGTGAGCCAACCATGATCTTGCTATCACAGAATGGCATAATTTGAACAAAATCGAAGGTGACGTGTGCTATCTTTTTTTTTTAAGAGCTGATAGCTTATAAGTAAATGCACCTGTGATTTAGAAGCTGTATCTAGTTCTGAGGTCTAATATGACCAAATATAGACTTTCTCAACTTCAGCGCTAATATTTGCTAATGGAAAAAACACAGACTCGCAAGCACATGGGCATCAAATGGATCCTAAATCATAGTTGTTGGTACTGACCCAAAGTTCTTATCTTTCCGAAGCAGATCGCCACCTCTTTGGAGGGAATGTGTGTTCAGACATTGCTAACTCTCCTCTGGGGCCTGGGTGAGGAGAGGAACAAAATTGCTCCCAGCTGATCAAGTAGAACAATTACTCTCGCAGAGCAAAGGCGGGACCCATTGAGCTAGCTCTTTCAGCAACACACGGATTAAACTTCATGGAGTCATCAAGAGAAGGGCCCTCTCCTTGGTTCATAGTCCTGATTTCAACTAGCCAAGAAAACCTGCGCCCAGAACAGCTCCACGTTTCCCACTACTGATGTCCGCTGCGTGTGTGTTGACTTTTTGTTTTTATTTTTTTCCTCTTCTAAATAGTTTGCATTTACTAATCTCAAACTCGGCTTGCTCATGCAACATCCTACTCCTGGCAAGCGATCATGATGAAAAGATTCATTCCTTATCCCTATTCTGCTTGCCTTCACTCCATAGTAGCTGCTCATTGAAATCCAAGGCCTCAAACCACAGTCTATAGATACAAGCTATCTTCTCAAGTCAGTCAGATGAAAATCAAATCGAATTTTCAGTCCCAACTGGAGCATCCAGAGATTTAGCAGACTATGAAATATAAAAATTGTCTTGACTGTGCACCTCTAGAAATGCTGACCGGGAAATGCTTTTTATTTATTTATTTATTTTAATCATAACATTTTATTTATTAATGTGTGTAACTTGCTAATTACCTATTTTAATAAATAAAGGCATGCCATATACAAAGGCAAACTGCAGAAATATGTGATGTAGACATTCATAGATTCCTGCCATCTCTCCTTTAATCCCATTCCTGGTGATAATCAGTAATTTTTTGTGTGTGTGGTATAGGCTATAGGATTTTTTTTTTCTAATCATTTTATTAGGGGCTCACACAACTCTTATCACAATCCATACATATATCAATTGTGTAAAGCACACTTGTACATTCATTGCCCTCATCATTTTCAAAACATTTTCCTCTCCACTTAAGCCCCCAGCATTAGGTCCTCATTTTCCCCTCCCTCCCTGCTCTCCCCTCCCCCATAAGCCCTTGATAATTTATAAATTATTATTTTGTCATATCTTGCCCTGTCCGGCGTCTCCCTTCATCCACTTTTCTGTTATCTGTCCCCCAGGGAGGAGGTCATATATAGTTCCTTGTAATCGGTTCCCTCTTTCCAGCCCACTCTCCCTCTACCCTCCCAGTATCACCACTCACACCACTGGTCATGAAGGGCTCATCCACCTTGGATTCCCTGTATTTCCAGTTGCTATCTGTACCAGTGTACATCCTCTGGTCTAGCCAGATTTGCAAGGTAGAATTCGTATCATGATAGTGGGAGCGGGGAGGATACATTTAGGAACTAGAGGAAAGTTGTATTTTTCATCATTGCTACATCGCACCGCTGACTGGCTTGTCGCCTCCCTGAGACCCCTCTGCAAGGGGATCTCCAGTGGCCTACTATTGGGCTTTGGGGGAAATGCTTTTTAAATATCACTAAAAACAAAGCAGG